TAATAGCGATATATTTTTAATTTATTATAATATCTTTAATAGATATAATAAACTCTAAAAACTTAATCTATTTAATATAAAATTAATACTTTTTTAAATTAGCATATAGTTAAAACTAATATAAACGCTTAAGTACTTACTTAATATATTATTAATATTTTATTAAATTAATATTATAAATTAGAATATTATCTAAATATATTATATATATTATATCTATTAAATCTATAAAAGCTTTATTAATATATATTTAAAAAGTTATTAATATATTAATAAGTTTAAAAGATATAATTAAATATTTAAAGTAGTTATAATAATTATAAAACGCTATTTTTTACTTATTACTTTTTTTAATTTAAATTTAATAATAGATATTCTTAAGATCTAGCTTTATAAAGATTTTAGATTTATATAAATGATTTAAAGTCTTAATAATTAGAGATAGCGAGTATTAATTTTTAATAATTATTATATTTAGATCTCGATAATTAATATAAAGACGAAGTTCTCTATTCTTTTTAAGAATAAAAAGAATTAATACTTTAACTAAGAAAGTTAAATAATAAATTTAATTTTTCTAAAGAAAATCCTTTAAATAACGTTATAGTTTTATTAATTTCGTTTAAGATAAATTATATAAGAGACTATATAGTAGTTTTTTATTACTCTTAATCTTAATAGTATAATCTTTCTACTTAAGCGTAGATAAGACTTCTACTTTTTTATTAAAAAAAACGTTATTAAACTCTAATAACTTCTAAGAGAGCTCTAGATTATACTTATTTTTTAATTTATTTTATACTATCGCGATATATATAATTATAAATATATTTAGCTTTTATTTAATAGTTTAAATAAATTTAATTAATTTTTTAATCTATAATTTATTAGTATTAATTTTAAATTATTATTACTTTATCGCTAAATTTAATAATATTTATAATTAATTTAATTTAAATATACTTAATATAATATTAAAGTCTTTTTAATTAATAATATAGAAGAGTATATTATACTTTTTACTTTAACTTTAATTATTTATTAATTAATAATCTAGCTAATATACGCTATAATAATATATACTTTAATTATTTAACGCTTTTAATTATAATAAAATAGCGTTATAAGATTTTAAGTCTTATTAGATTATAAACTTTTATAAAATTAAATTAATATATACTCTAGTATTAAGTAGAGTAACGAGTTATCTCTATTTACTCTAAAGCTTTATCTATCTCTTTATAAGAATAGAAGAAATTATCTCTATTAATTATTATTTTTATCTCGCTTTTAAAACGATTATAAGATTAAATCTTTTTTTTATTAATACTATATTATATCTAGACTATAGATAATTTATTAAGATCTAGATACTTAGATATTTAATAATCTTATTAATATATATAATAGAATAAGATAGAGCTAAACTAGAAAACCTTGAATTTATATATATAGCCAATTATAAATTCGGGGTTATTACGCCTTTTAGCTAGACTAACTAAGTTAGCCCGCTAGCCCTCTTAAGCTCTCTTATTAAAAATTTGTATATAGAACTTTTACACTCTAAAATAACCAGCTTTCTACGAATGTTATTTCTTTATAATTTCGTAAATTATAGAGCTTAGTATACGCTTTCTAACGCTATAAAAATAATGAAGTTTAGTTTACTATTAGTAGATTAAATGGATATTTAAATATAATAGTTATGATAGTTATACCAGACGCGTCCGGGATCGGATAATAATCCTTTCACCTGTTTGTGTAATCATTCTTCTTTCACTATTCTATCAATTCTATCAATTCCATCAATATGAACACAATCGTCTTCGATACCCCTCGCCTAAAGGTTACTTAACGTTTCAGGTATATACACCCCTTTTGCCCGCCTCTTAGAGCCCCTACTAACGCCCTTAGGCCACCCCTCGACGAATCCGCTACTACTAGTAATCGAGGCCGTAAGCGAGCCTAACAGCTACCTACTACTGCTCATAAACGCGTCGGAAAGCCCTCAAAAAGAGCCCAAACGGATACGTCCTCCTCTATATACTTCTCCTAAGCCAGCGGTAGGTGGGTTAAACTGATATTCAAATTTTGTAGTCATACCAAACGCGTTCGGGATCGGATAATAATCCTTCCACCTATTTGTGTAATCATTCTTCTTCCACCATTCTACCAATTCTACCAATTCCACCAATATAAACATATTTACCCTCGGTACCCTCGCAGTCAGTTGAATAAGAGGAGGATCTACAACAGGCGAATGCGGAGAACACTGCGGAGAATATTGCTGAGATAGTCATCAGCAGCAGTGACACAACAGGCCTACTCTCCACGATCTCACATCAATCCACTCAGCCAGTGCAAGAGAAGTCAATACAGCAGGCGAATGCGGAGAATACTGCGGAGAAACCAAGCGGCAACCGGGACCCCAGCACCAAGAACACGGCTCAGCTCTCTAAGATCTTACGGAGAACACCACTGCAACTTAGCCTGTTATCCCCACTACATTAAGAAGTAAGAGGAGGAACTACAACAGGCAAATGCGGAGAACACTGCGGAGAACACTATGAAGAACACTGCGGAGAAACCAAGCGGCAATAGGGCCCCCAGCACCAAGAACACGGCTCAGCTCTCCAAGATCCCACGTCATATACTCTCCACGGTTCCACACCAAATCATCACTCAGCAAGCGGAGAACACCACTGCAACTTGGCCTGTCATCCCCTCTGCATTGATATGGTACATCACTGCAATGACGTCACAAGAGGAGGATCTACTGCGACGATCACAGCCAATTAGGCCTCTGCAGAAGGAACATCGGACGATACATATTTGGACGAATTGAAACCGTCCGATGTCTTGCTCTGACAGCTATTTCATTATTCGAAAGATTTCACTGCGGCAGGAGATAATGTGGGATTCACACCACTAATTGGCATGTTGTCTCCATTTCTTTCCGGTATTTCGATACTTCTTGCCATAAGGACATGGCCTTTCTCTGTTTTTTGTAGGCAATTATTACGGATCAATCCTCCACACTCGATATACCTTCCTAATTAGGCCTTAGCGCGCCTCTCTCCGCACATATATGCCTGTATGTAGGTCAAAAACGCACAGCAAGCGATCAGAGTTCGATTTGACTTAGGGCTAGGGCTAAAATTCCATTTGACTTGGAAAAATCCAACTCCATTTGACTTAGAAAAATCCAACTCCATGAATTTAATTCATGGGCCTTTACTTGTTTATTATAATAAAAATAATTATTCTTTTTATAGTTAGAGTTAAAGAATTTAGCTTTACGCTTTATATTATTATCTTAAATACGCGCTATATAAACGCCGTCGTTTAAAATTAATTTAGATTTCGAAATTTAATTCTTTAAAGGCTTATCCTTAGCGAATTCTTTTAAAGACTTCGAATAAAAATCGTCGTCGAAGCGTATACGTTTTAAAATCTTTTTCTATATAATAATCTAGATAAGAATTTCTTTTTATTATTTTAATATACTATTAATATTTAGAATCTTATTTTTAAGCTTTAATCTAAGCTTAGCTAAGAAGAAATTAGCTCGATACTTTTTAAAAAATAAGATTATATAAATCTCTAGCTTCTTTAAATAAATCTTAAAAATAAATATCTTCTAATTAAAGCGTTATTTAATCTTCTCTTACTTTTCATATATAAGAAAATAGTAATTTATTAAATTCGCTATTAAATTAAATAGAAACTACTTAAAGAATTTAAAAGTTATATTTCTTAGACTATAGATTTAATAATATCTATATTATTAGATATTAAGATTATCTTCTAAGAATTATATATAATAAATAATTCTTAATTAATTAATAGTAAAATACTTAAAATTTATAAGAAACTTAATTTTAATTTCGCGGAATTAGCGTAGATACTCTCTCTTATTAATATTCTTATAAGAATATATTCTTTTAAAGCGAAATATTTTTATCTTAATTAATATATTCGCTAGAGATATAATAGTAATTAGTATAAATAGATCTTCGCTAATTATAGACGATAAGCTAGCGTTATAAAGCTCGCGATTATAAACCTTTAATATAGTTAATTCTTATTCTTATTTTAGATAACGATTTTCGATTTTAATAATTATAAGATATTATTTTATAGTAAGATCTTTTATTAATAAGAAATTCTCGAACTTATTATTAGCGCTATAGCGACTCTCGATATTATCTTTATTTTTTATTATATAATTTAAAGATAAACTCGATATCGTAATAATAATAGATCTTTTTCTTTAAAAGATAGAGAAATATTTTTTTTTTTTTTTTTTTTTTTTTTTTTTATTTTTTTTTTTTTTTTTTTTTTTTTATATTTTATTATTTTAATATTATATAAAAATACAAAATAGAAATATTCTATATCTTTTAAGATAATATCTCGAAAACTACTTAAATTTCATATTAAATATTATATCTTTTCGACTACTAGTTTAAAGAGAAGTTTAAGTATATATTATATATATATCTTAATCTTTATAATCTACTTTTCGCTATAAAGATTATAAATAAGAATTTAAGAAATTAATATTATATAATAAAAGCGAAGTATATATTAAGTATATACTTTTATTATAGATAAGTTATCTCGCGCGAGTTAATATCGCTAGACTAAATTTAATTTTCTTTACTCTCGATAAGATATTAATATATACTAAATATATTCTTTCACCTCGGATGAGGTGCATATACTCAGCATCTACTCACCTCTGCCGAACTTTTTTTCACCCCTGCCAGCTGTAACCCGGCCCGGTGCGGGGCTTAGCAAACATCCCAGTGGTCTTCTGGTCTTCCTTGAGCATCCCTTCATCACACTATCCCACTCTTACATTGATTGTCCGTTCATCATTTCCAAACCTCTTCCGCTTTCAAAGAGTCGCCATACTGCTCTAACAATAGCCCCTTCTTCATCGAATCGTAGCAACTTCAGCGCCTGCAATCGTCTGCAGCCTCGCTTGCCCTACAATGGCACCCAAGCCTGAATCACTCCCTCAACTCTTCGATGCCGTTAAGGCCAAGTTCCCCGAATCCCTTGGACCTGACAGATGGTACCTTGTTGCTGTAAGCAACATCCCTTGACTGGACTTTGCCTTCCCCTGCTTTCGAAAAACGATCAGCTGATAGAACTCAGGCATCCTCCCTCATCACGAATTCTAACCCCACAAACTTCGCCCAGCTCTGGACCTATTTGACAGCGCAAGGGGAATATCAAGCCCTTGAAAAGCGGCAAGCTCTTAATAGACGACTGCGAGAGTTTCTGATGAAACAATGGGTCACCATAGGCGTACCTAAGAGTGCTGTTGCTCTATTCTCTTTGATCAAAGAGGAGAAGCCTGGGGATGCTGATTTGAGCTTTACCAAGTATGTTGCGCTTTTTCTCTCTGCACCTCTACGGCCTCTACGACTAAAAGTCAATTATCGACCGTAAACCTCGTCCTCTTTCCCATGCCGAAAACCTGACGAGGCTGTATTCAGATCTCACGCTGCCCTTACCCCAGCTAACCGCGAGCGTGGCACTCAATTCCTTCGCTATCTCTACACCGAAGAGCAGATGGAAGCTATGTGGAAAAGCTGGGGTAAGGACTCGGAATGGCTGACCAAGGAAATTGTATACGGCATGTTTTATGGTGATGACACGGTTCTGGGGTTTGTGGATACGGAGTTGATTACGTATACGGCTATCATGTGTCAAGGATTACAGGTCACGATCCACAATCACCTCGGCGGACTGTTGGGCATGGGCTTGAGCGTGGAAGAGATCGAGGGAGTCACGGAATGCGGAGAGCTTGTTGCGAAATGGTCAGGTACGTACCTTTTGGATTGCTTCCTTGCCACTTACTTACCCCATTTGTGTACTGAACCCGAAATCTACGTAGGAGTGGATACAAGTGGTTGGCCAGATGTGAGGGAGATTGCAGCCGGGCTGAAGAAGTAAGGGACAATGGCATTTGGGTGGAAACACTATCAAAGCAGGTATTTTATTTTTTTTTTTTTTTTTTTTTTTTTTTTTTTTATATTTTTTTATTTTTTTATTTTATATTTTTTTTTTTTTTTTAAAAAAAAAAAAATTTTTTTTTTTAAAAAAATTATTTTGGGGGCCTTAGCGTTACAAAAAGCACAACTCGTCTCTCATTCCGTGCTACATTCTAGAGACACCTTCTATGGACCCGATGACCATTTGGGATAGTCGCTCAACTCAAAACCATTCCCCTCCGTCTGCCGGAGGCAACGCTTTCGCCCAAAAGGTGCCGGTCGTAAATCCCGCGCTTATGGGATCGTATCGCATCACTTCGGAGGTGCCATGAAGACCCCAGCGGTGCGGGTCTCAAGTCGCATAAGTTCGGAGTCATGGAAAAAAAACGTGCATGAGATGAAACCGTCGTCGGCGTTTCGGAGCCAGGCTTCATCCCCGCCGAGTGCCGACCGGGCGAGGACCGAGACGTTAACGCCGGCGGGATTTTCGATCGGGGTTCGAGACCGAGGTGGTGGGGGGGTGGGGGTCGTCGGGAAATCATTTAGGTAGGTATATAAGTATATGGGTACAAATTCGATGGGTTTGGGGAAAAAGGTTGCAGCAAAAAAATCAGCCTGTCAGAACCGACGTACTTGTACTTTACTTGATTCGTAAGCGGTGCGATCGCCCAGCCTTTTCAGCTCCACCAACGCTTGTGCTAGCGAACAATGACATCCAAATATGGGTGGTTCGGGCACAGCGCAACGGTACCGTGTGGTCGCTGGTGACACTAACAATGATGTTTTCTGGGTGCTAGCGGGCATCCGTGTTTCCAACTTACCTCGCTCATTCTGCATGCGTCTCACGGCCCCGTCTAAAGCTCCATGTAGGTAGTCATCCAAACGCCCCGCTTTCCCCCCCCACACCCCACATCGCCGTGTCCTGCGGATACCTCCTGTCGTCGAGCAAACCTCTTTCATGCAGCCCGGGCGGCTTTTACACACTACTCTACTCCACTGTTCACTTGAGATGCTGTGCACGCCCTACCTATATCGTTCAATGAACGAACAGAGGGGTTGCAGAGTACGCGCGCGGTATTGAACGAATTCTGTCTGTCTCCTGGCGAGGCGAGCTGTCGGTCATGTGGCGGGGGCTTTCGAGGTCTTGGTTTCTGCGGTCATCTGAGTGTTTAAAGGATGCTACTGGTTTGTTGGAAACCATTTGTTTACGAGGTTGACTAGAGTTTTTGGATTGCGGCGCTGAGAGTGTCGTTATGGCTTCGTTCGTGGGTGATCTGTCGGGCTTTTTGTAAAGAGGTCTTTCTTGTTCGACCGTACTTTAAGCTCGCCTAGGATTTGGGCACCGTCTACTCCGTACCCGGAATTCGATTCTCAAAGTTCCTTAAAGTGATCCAAGAAACGACAGCCCTGCCAAGACATGCACATTGATCTCTTTCAGCTGCCGGAGACTCTCTCAATCACACTTTTACACCTCTCCAACAGATGAGTCCGGAGGACGCTCCGAACGCCCTGGCCCTCGACTTCGAATCCCTCCAACGTCTCCTGGATCCTTCCAGCCTCCCTCGCTACAATCTTCCTCGCCCAAAGAACCTGTTCGCTTCTCTCCAAAGCAAACGTTCCGAACCTTAATTGTACAGTCGTTGTGTGTGCGGTCGTCCTCTCGTCTTCGTCGTCCTCATGCTCTCCAATTCTCTCGTCACCATGCTCCTCCGACCCCTTTGTCCTTTCGCAATCTAAGCTCGCACAGAAGATCTCCAACGCAGCTTGATATGAGGCCAAAATGCGGTCGAGTAAGCCGCACGCGATGGTTGCACAACTACTTACGCTGTCGTGGGAAACCGGTCTGAAAGGATTTGAGCACTGCAGACTTGTGAGGCAATTTTCCGCCGCTGTTCGATTGGCACAGAGGACGACGTCGAGTTTGGGGCTGCAACTAGCCGCGTGAGCGTTCATACGTTGCATAGCTTCGAAAAGCTGAGTGAAGCAGTTGCATGGTGTTCTTGCCAGCACACTCTCCGGGGAGTACGTGGAAGGAGCGGCTGAGTGATAGTGCCGGAGGTTTTGCGTATTGCTAGCTCGGGGCTGGTTGGTGGGAGGCAGCACGGAATTTGTAGAAGCTGCGGTAGCGGGAGTAGCAGCGTCTGTCAAGTTTGGTGTGTTAGTCGTGGTAGATGTACCATTGATGCTGCTGGGCCACGGATTCGGATTTTGAGGCACTCCTACTGAGCCCTGCGGTAGATACTGCCAGAAGAATGGGTTCGGCTCAGCATTTGCACCAATGCTGTAAACTTGCTGATCAAAAGCACACGGCGGAACTATTGCTGCTGGATATATGTCTTGGTTAAAGGCAGCCTGTGTGCCATATAGGTCGTGTGACAACGAAGACTCGCTAGATGGTGATGGCCGCGAGATCTGAGATTCTTCCACGTGATTGCGATTACTCTTCTTGTGGTAGATACGCGGCACAACCGGACTGTACTTGCAGGCGAGCTCTCCCGCCGAGTTGTCACACCGTTGACAGCCGATGTCCGTTTTTATGCATTTGATCTTTGCAGAATGGCATGCGTCGCACGAAGCGCGGAGTTTCGGCGGCATGATGCAGAGGTTGGGGTTACATTGTGAAATTGCAACCTTTTGGCAAAACTCGGCGGCCAAGACATGGTTTTGAAGGAGGGGCAGGGAATGGGGAATGAGGGGCAGGAAAGGAAGGGCATGGGAAGGGAGGTTGAGGAAAGGGAAGGGAAGGGAAAACGGGATGAGCCTTGGCGGGGAGAGGGACTCGTTTATTCTCCCAGTCAGGCAGCTGCTTGCAGGTTTCACCAGGCGGGATTAAGGCATCGAGTGTATGTTGTACTTGTACACACCATCAAGCCAAAGTCCAAGCTGAAGGATTCGAGATGGGCGGAATGGTGGTGTGCGGTCGCATCGGATCCGTGTGGGCTTGCATTAGAGCTGGTCGGATGCGAAAAGGGAAGATGCGATTGGGTCAAAATGACCTTATCAACCGCTTTTTCAACATACCTGACCTTGCTTGCAGATGCATAGAGAGTAGTTGATGCCAGAGGATGAAAGTATTAAAAGAAAAGGACAAGATGTTGCGAGTATGTATTCGGGCCATCCCTTAAATACCCTTCGCCAATCTTTCATGGTGCGAATCAAAACGAGGCGCTTAAACCTCCATACTTGTACCTTGATTACCCTGCACTTTACTTAGACCGCCGTCGAAAGTTGTTACTTTCTGTGATAACTTGAGGCAATCAGCTCACTTGATATTTATGTGGATTTGAACATAAAGTAGCCCTAATTATTACCTTATCCCGCTTACTTAACAAATCTAACCTACTTCAAAGTAAGGTACCGTGGGTACCTATGATCTTATCGAAAATTCCACCGACAAAAATGATTCCGTGACACTAAGCCAAAATAAGAATAGCGGGGCTTGGGGAATTCACGCCCTTGTCCAATATTTGCCTCGCTCTTGCAGCAGAACACAGTTCCTCTATGGCCCCAAACCCATCTAAGCCATTGCGTAAGGCTCCTTCCCAATGTGTTCAGCTTGCATCTGGCGCCCTTACTAAGAAAGAGACGCACTTTCCTGGAGCATGCACAAGTGTGCGTGCAATCATTTTCAGTAAGCAGCATGCATCATCATTGTCAACCCCAAGCATCTGCTCTGGATTTGGGTCTATCGCTTACCCTCGTCGCTGGTTTGGTCGAAGAATCCCTTCGACCGGCTCGGTATTGGAAGGAAGTCAACTTTCACCGCGTCTCTGATCAGCTTGCCTACAAAAGTAACCTCGTTCAACCACGGCAGCACATATCGTGCCACAAATTTCTTTGTATAACCATCCCATGTCACTAGTCTTGTCATGAGGTGGACAGAGCCAGCGAATTTCCGCACGCGTGCCTCTCTCGTTCTCTGATACGTTTCGAAGATAGACTGAATGGTCTTGCTGTTGGCACTCGTGTCAGAACAGGGACGCAGGTGGCGATCCAAAGAATTGGCTAAAGCAGCCACACTCTCAATTGCACAATTACCTCCATGTGCTCCGATGGGTGACATCTACAATACCCAAGTCAGTCCAAGTATCGCCGACTTCAGCTTTCAAAACGACCTACCTTGTGTGCAGAGTCACCCACCAGCACGATGCGATTGAAGAACCAGTGCTCAAAAACACCGTCCTCAAGGGATGTCAAATAGCCCCGAGTGCGCTTCATCCAGATCTCTCCAAATAGGACATGTGCCGTGACTGGTCGATCGGCAATCTTGGCTGCTTCCTTTTCGGCATCCTCTTTGGTGAAATGAGATCTTTGCGGCCAATGCGATACGTTGGCTTCTTTAATGCAAACGAAGAATAGTGTTTGACCAGGCTGGCTCACGATCACCATGTAGACTCCTTGATTCTGTATCATATTGGATTCATTTGCGCCAATGCCGGCAATGGCCGGAGCTGCTCCAACCAGACAGCGGTAAGAGGAAGTAAGAGCTACCCAGCCAGGTGAGTAGCGATTCATTGTATCAAAATTCTTTGGCTACTGACATCTTTTCTCTCTGGCACTTATCAAACCCGGCGACAGCTTGTTGGCCTTTTCCCACATGATCTGGCGTACGACACTATGAACACCATCGCAGCCGGCAACAATGTCTCCTTGGCAACTTCCATCTTCGAAAACAACTCGGACGCCGTTACAGTCTTCGATAATGTCTGTTACTCGCTTGCCAGTCCAAAGTTTCGACTTGTCTGGAAGATTCTCGTACAGAATCTGATGGTACCGATATCTTTCGAGGATTCGGAAATCATATCCGTACCTGGTCTAGAGTTATGGCTTCAATATCAAGTGATATGAGTATGCACTTACACGGAGGCGATCTTGCTAGATAAGCTGCTCGTGATAAACGCTGAGCCATTGGGCTTGCGGATGTAGTTGAGCCCCATGGGGGCGCCGCTCTTCTCTACACTTTCCCAAAAACCTGCCTGGTCTAAAATCCTCGCAGCGTTCGGCCAACAGCCAAAGCTTCCACCGGCTGGATGAACCACATTCTTGTGTGCTTCTAGAATGACGAAGTCTATGCTGGCTTGGGTAAGGAGATGAGCCAGCAGCAGACCGGAAAGGCCAGCTCCCACAATGACGACCTTGAATGGCCTGAGCTTAGTTTCCTCCATGCTTCAAATTTGATATAGTGCGATCTTGACTCTGCATCTTTCAATTTGAAAGTGACTGGCAACTAACGGTCCCGACGGAATATGATGAGATGCTGATGGCGCAAGAAGTCAGAACCAATGCAACAAACGGTCGCTCTCCTTGGTTGCTGCCCCCTCCTCGGCCGGAGCGCTCGAAGCGTCACGTACGGAGCTGAGGAAACGATTCCTTCCTCGGGCATCTATTTCTTCCTCGGGTATCTGAGTATGCACCCTGCGTTGCTGGAAGTTTGTCAACCGGCCGTCTTTGCTGATGATATGATACCGCTCGTACATTCCATTATAAGGTGTTACGCAGGTCAAGAAGTGCCGACTATCCAATGATTCCATCCCTGATCCTGCACTTACGCAGGGCTCATAGTGGAGCTGACTGCATCGGACCGAAAATTTTGCTGGAAGCTCGCATCGGCGTTTTAATATAGCACATGTTTCTTGGTCTAGTGTGGTGCTAGATTCCTTAAATCCCGGAACTAGGGTCTAGAGTTTGCAAGACGCTACAAGGTGCATGCATGCTTGTATCACGCATTATGCAGTTCCATGTCGTGCAATCTACGAGTAAACGTAAGTGTCGTCACGCAACGAATGCTCGGAGTTCAAACTTCAAGGCGTGTGACCTCTTTCCTTCTCGGCTTGATATTTTTTCAATATGTCTGACTCTCCTTTGCATAACGAGAAGACTGTGGAGCGGTCTCCGAACGATACCCAGTCAGACGCGGGAAAGCAGTCTTTGAACGACGTTGATCCCAATGCTGAAGAGAGCTCACCACGCAATCTTCATGGCGTAAAGGTAACTCGGCCACACATGAGCGGAACCATATTAGATCACAGCAATGTCACTTACGATCACCAGTGGCTGATGACTATAACGGCAATCCTGTCGACAACACTGCTGTTCAGTTTGGACACGACAATCGTACGACAACACCAGCCACGTTGTATAGCTTTATGCTAACAGACGGCCGCACAAGGTTGCCAACGTTCAACCTAGCATCATTAAGGAGTTTGGCGAAGTCTCCAAGCTATCATGGCTGGGGACAGCCTTCGCGCTGGGCTCGGCAAGCACCATCCTACCCTGGTACGCTAGTCCTGTTCTCAAGCAGAACGGAGCTGAACTACCATAGGAGCAAAGCATATGGGGTTCTGAACGTCAAATGGCTGTACATATCGCACGTCATCGTCTTCGAAACCGGGAGCGCTCTATGCGGCGGAGCACCAGATATGAACGCTTTGATAGTGGGTAGAGCAATCGCGTGAGTAGAATTACCTTCAAATCGGCCGTTCTTAGTTGACCCACAATGCCAACAACAGTGGTTTTGGCGTATGTGTCAAAGATTCGCGACTTCAGATGAAAGTGTGACTGAGAACAGTAGGCGAGCGGGATGTACGTTGGTTGCTTGACATACGTGTCCATTTTGACGACCGTTCAAGAAAGACCGATCTATATGGGACTGATAGGATTGGTGTGGTAGGTGGCTAGCCTCTAGTGAAATTTGCTATACTTATAAGATTACAGGGGACTCGGAACAATTCTAGGTCCAGTTGTGAGTCAACAACATCGCCAAGACGCGGCAAGAGACTGAGGAGTGATAGATTGGTGGAGCCTTCATCGACAGCAATGCGACGTGGCGATGGGTAATTCCAGCGAGATCATTTGCTCGTTCCACATCAAGTAACGTCGACTAGGCGTTCTACATCAACCTCGTTGTTGGCGCTGTTTTTGCTCCCGTCTATCTGTTCCTCTTACCAAGCCTCGATCTTCAAAAAGATGTTCCGTTACGGCAGCGACTGGTCCGGAACTTCGATTGGCTCGGCAACCTCTTTTTTATTGGAGGCATATGTTGTTTCACCCTCGCGATAACCTTCGGTGGCAGCCTCTTCTCCTGGAGCTCCGCTAGCGAGATTGCACTCTGGGTCGTGGCAGGAGTGTTGTTCCTTGTCTTTTGTCTGACCCAGGCCTTTCATCCCTTGGTCAACGCACAACACAAGCTTTATCCTACCATATTCCTCCGACGACCCGTGATGGTGATGCTGCAACTTGCGGTTTTCATGTCCTCTGTGAGCTTGCTAGTAAGTCATAATTTCCATCCTTGAACGCTCAGCCCACGCTAAAAACAAGTCTAGATCCCAGTATACTACATACCGCTCTTCTACCAATTCGCTAAGGTAAGCTTCTGCCTTCACCATTCTACAGCCAAGACACTAAAACCACCCAGGGTTCCTCAGCACTCGGCTCCGCGGTTCATCTCCTCCCCTTCGTTATTATGGTTGTGGTATTCGTCATCATAAATGGGTCTTTGATGGCGAAGCTTGGCTACTACATGCCATGGTATCTATTCGGCGGCGCACTCGTGCTCATCGGCTCTGCTCTGATGTGTAATCTTACTCCCGTCTTCGCTTTTCTGAGTACTCGATCCCCCAGCTGACCGAGCAATCCAGACACCGTCACTGCAACAACCTTGACCTCCGCCGTCTACGGGTACACGGTCCTAATCGGGGCGGGCGCGGGATCCTTCTTGCAAGCCGGATTCAGCGTGACTCAGGCGCTGTTGGAACCAGAGGAGATTACCGACGCGGTGGGATTCATGAGCTTTGGTACAGATCCCTTCTTTCCTTCGTCCATGGAAAAAGAAGGAATTAACACAGAGCCGTTTAGGACAATCGATTGGCATAGTAATCTCCCTCGCCATCGCAGGCGCAATCTTCCAAAACCGCGCTGTCAGTAACGTGGTCTCGATCCTCCCCGGCGTCGACATCTCCGGTCTACGCTCCGCAATCACCGGTACCGATAGCGCGTACTTTGCCAGTCTCAGTCCTGCGGAAAGGGGAAGCGTTACGGAAGGGATAGTGAAGGCGTTGGGTGACGTTTATGTCGTCGTCATCGTTGCGGGGGCTACAGTGATTTTACTGGCCGTTTTTCTGCCGAAGACTAAGCTCTTTACGAGTGGCTGATGTTATGAAAAGGTCTTTGATTAATGACAGGGTTGAGGTGAATGGCATATGGGTTGTCCGGGATGAGTGTCAAGTAGATGGCAGGGCGCATGCTCGCCGTGGGAAAAGAGATTGCCAAGGCAAGGCACACAACTCACGGATCCAAGGGGGACGTGGACCTTTGGGCTTAGAGCTTACGGTGCACATCTGTGATTGGACCAGTAGTAAGAGTATGTAGCAGAAAGTTATGCATATGGGGAAATCCAAAGTTTCTAAGTCCCACTGCGGCATGTTTGCCGGTTGCACTGTGGGACTTGGAAATTTTCGATTCTCTCCTTAGTAGGACTTGGAAATTTCGAGGTTTTCGCCCGCAGAATTCTCCCTATATGCATGACTTCTGCTACATACTCTCCCCTTACCACTTGCTCTCAGGGCCTGAAGACTCAAAGCCTGGTATTCCCACCTAGGTCGCAGCAGCCCCTCCAAGCTTCACCTTCAACCTTTGCGCCGCCACCTTGCTCAACTCCCTGATCGTGCCCAAGCCCATGATCTCCAGGACGCTGATCTCCAGCCCGAACGCCCGCTTCCACCACCGGCGCAGCTCGATCGCCATGAGCGAATCCACCCCGACGGCCCCGAGCGTCATCCCGACGTCCACGTCCCCCGCGTCCCGGAGCACGAGGCCGAACACCTTGAGGCCGATCTCCCGCGCCAGCAGGCCCTCGCCCTCGGCCCCGGCGGCCAGCAGGTCCGGGTCATCGGCGCAGCGCAGCAGGAACCGCGTGAGCCGGTTGTTGTCGCCGCCGCCGGCGTGGTCGACCGTGTTGGCGTTCCGGATGTTGTGGTAGAGGCCCATGCGGCGGTCGCGGCGCCAGTGGGTGCGGTTGGCCGGGTCGTCCGGGTGCAGGTCCGAGCGGAGCCCCATGACGATCTGGCCCTTGTTCTCCCACGCGGACACCGCGGGGGCGGTGGGCGATCTCCCGCGCGCGGTGGTGCCGGCTGGGGGCTGCGAGTTGAGGAGGGAGAGGTGCAGGTAGTCGAGGAGGGCTTGCTCCCGGAGGAAGTGGTGGCCTTGGGCCTTCAGGCTCTTGCGCGTGGCGGGGTTCGCGGCCACGAAGCCGACGTCGTCGATGGGGCAGATGTTGAGCACGGAGGCGGGCAGGCCGAGGCTGTGCCGGTACTGGCAGAAGGCTTCGAGGAAGGTGTTGGCGGCGTTGTAGTTGCCTTGGCCCGGTTGGTTGACGATTGTGACCGTGGAGCTGGACATGAAGAAGAAATCGAGAGGTTGGTCCGCGAGGGCGTTGTGGAGGTTCCAGGTGCCGTCTACTTTGGGCAAGCTTGCTGTCACCCATTCTTCGTGGCTCATGTTGACGATGGGTTTGTCCTGGGCTTGGGTTAGTGGGGCTACTCCTCGGTTGTCGGAAGACAGGTGACATACCCTTAGAACCATCGCGAGCTGTATGACACCTTTGATAGGGCCGGGTGCTGACGATATGGCTGCTACCACGTCTTCCATATTCTGAGTCATACCAGCAACGGCAGCAACGACGCATCCCATACTCTCGAGCTCCTTGAGGAAAGTCTGGTCGCTTTCGTTGAGACCTGCAGTGCGAGAAAGGAATATGAGACTCCGAGCGCCATGCTCAACCATCCAAGTCGCAATTGATCTACCAAGTCCTCCCAGACCTCCCGCTAGAAAGTACGAACCCTTGGGGTCCAGCGTAAGAGTACTGGCAGATCGAACGCTTGATATTATGGAGTTGTCCTGTGGCATTCTCAAGATCACTTTGCCAATGTGATCCCCGTTTTGCAGAACTCTGAACGCCTCCGTGGCATCTCCAGCCTCATACGTGAGAAAGGGTCTGATTGGAGTCACATGGCCCTGTTGGTACAGCTTCAAGGTTTCCTTCAAAACTCTGGAGTGGGATATCAGCATTGCAACACCATGTCATCAAGATGTCTTGACGGCGGTTGGCTTACCCTGCCATCCGCTCGGGCCTATCTCGAATGAGATGCGCAATGTCCACACAACAATAAGAACGATTTGCCCCGAAGATGTCCATCTCGAGCTTGCCGAAGCCCAAAATGTCCCGTTTTCCAAGTTCTATAAGCTTGCCGAATTCGGCTACGCATTTCCATGATGCATGGAGGAGTTCGCCTGAAAGCGAATTAAGAACGAGGTCCACCCCTCTACCTTCTGTCTCACGCATCAAATCTGGAAGGAACGAGTGATCTCGTGAGTTAAAAATGTGATTTCTGGGAAGCTGGAGGTTGTCCATCAAATGCTTGACCTTTTCATCGTTGCCCACAGTTGCGTAAACCTTATTGTGTGAGATGGTACTCGTTCGTAGATCAAAGGAACCTCATACCTCAGCGTCCATCATTTTACAGATCTGTAAAGCAGCGTGTCCAACTCCACCAGCGGCTGAATGAATCAAAACAGTCTGGAAAGCCTAATCAGTAGGAGCTTACCAGCGTTTGTACAAGTTGAGATACGTTGTTCTCAAGGCTGGGCTTGGTTTGAGTGAGAGCAGGGGAACACTTACCTGTCCTTTCATCATCCCACCGACATTGAGCAAGGAGTATATCGCTGTTGCAAAGCAACAAGGCATGGTTGCGGCATCTTCGAAAGTCAAGTCGTCCGGCAGCTTGACAGCGAGCGAACAGGGAAGAACCAGCCTATCTGTGATGCAGCCGTGAGGCGCAAGCGCAAAGATTCTGTCGCCCACGGCAACGTTGCGAACATTGGATCCAACTCTCCGGATCACGCCAGTAGTATCAATACCGAGGGGAAACCCCTCGAGGCCGTAACCCGAAATCCCCATGGCGAGTAGCACGTCCTGAAGCATTACTGAGTAGACCATGATAGCAAGGGAAAGGTTGACTCACCCTAAAGTTCAATCCAACAGCCGCGGTTTGGATCTCGACTTCACCTTTTCCCAGTCCCACCGGCGTAGCTTTCTCAGACCATTGGAAAGTCTGCATCAGACCAGGCTTCATGATCTCAAGGGTCATTGCACAGTCTGTAGCTGTGAGGCTACTTTTCTGGCGTAGCTCTTTCTGCAAGGGAGAACGGATGATATCTTCCAACCTTGATGACGCCGTCATCGACTGCATACTCCGGGTCCGGCGCGAGTGTACCATCGTCTTTTCTACTTGTGATCTTTCCAAAAACCTGCATGACCTTTTTTCCAAACTCCTTTTCTCTTGGATCGATCTCAAGCGTCACGAAAGACAGAGCTAACTCTGAACGAATTGTCCGTGCAACGCCAACTGTTTGCGCTGAGCGAGGGTCATCGCAAAGAATTTGGGAGGGCCTAGTTAGCCAGAGAATCGTTCGATGATGCTGTTCAGAAAGTAAGTCTTGGAAGGCTCTGAACTTATTCTCTGAAATATTCTCGAAGAAACACGACTCTAAGTCGATTGTAGTGATGATGCATTCCCCTTGTGGGGGGCGATCACCAAATTTAGAAAGCAAATAGTCTATTCCTAATAATTCAATCTCCGCAACAAGGTTTTTGGTGATCTCATTGGTTTCTTCGTCACAAAGGATTGTGATCGTCCTCCTGCTAGAGCCACCATCAAGCTCAGCGAGCGGCTGAGAGACGATAGCAGCACAGTACTGGTAGGGTTGTTCAGCATCGAAGACGGCCGTATCGACGCCAGTGAAATTTGCAGCTTTGAGCTCCTGGTCCCAACGATCTACCGAGACATATGGCTCGTCTGGCCGGCCGTCCGCCTCACCCAGCCACCAACCAGAGAAATTGCCGAAAATGTAGTTGGGAGCTCGAACCAGGGCAGAAAGCTCTGTGAGCACTAGATGACCATGTGGTCGCAAGAGAGGCCTAAGGTTGCATAAGGTCTCGTGCAGGGATGGGGTTGCGTGAACGACATTGGGGGCGAGAATGAGGTCGTAAGATGCAACTTCAAAGCCTTGCTCAATAGGATTTCGTGATATGTCGAAAACCCTATAGTCCATGTTTGACGCATGGGAAAACCTTTCTTTTGCCTGTGGAAAGAATCCAGCAGAGACGTCTGTAAACGAGTAGAGTGAGTATAGAGGGTATCCATCTTTGTCTACAAGATCCTCAAGAATGGAGACGGTCGTCCCGCCGGTCCCAGCGCCGACTTCTAGCACCCGAAGATTTGGCTTCGTGTGCGAAAGCATTCGAACGAACTCGCCATGTCCAAAGCTGACGACGTTGTAGATCTTGGTTAGGACGTCTCCTTGCATGAGAGTGTCAAGCGTATCTGCTGTTCCAGTGAAGAGTGCTTCGATATTGTCACTGATGCGCTTTATGCCTGTGGCGACGGCAGCCTTAGAGCCCATAGAAGACAATTGCTTCAGGCGTTCTTCTATGAGATCTCGCCGCACTGAAGGGTTTAGATTGACGAGCTGCTTGCAGTTTCTGACCACTGGGTGTAAGCCATTTTGGGCGCGGCCTACTTCCTTGTGGAGCCAGTCTCGGTACTTTCGGAAGTGCCATTGGTCTGTCTCTAGCAATCGGAGACGCTCTGCCGATTCCACCATGCAGAGCAACGTCATTTCTTCTTGAAGCATCGTCTCTTCAATTTTCGACTCTGGAGGCTTGAATAGGGATGCTACGTCAAAGAAGTCAAAGTCGGGGGCCCATTCCAAACGAGCAGCTGCGTGTCGATCCCATGCTGAGTCGAGATCTTCCTCATTGTCCATCGGAGTCAAGTACACGCCGCGAAGGCGGAGACAAGTCCGGCCCCCTGATACACAATCTATCCCCGGGGCTTCCGATGCGGTCAAATTCCCTGCTTTGGCCATCATCGTCGATGCGCTCCGAGCTACCTCGATCTCTTCGATTCTGGTAGGCACAGCCACATGCCCAAAATTGCGGCCTATGCCTTTTGACATCGCAACGAGGAGTAACTGCAAGCAAGCGTCTATTGCAGTTGGATGGAACACATAGGGTGCTTCTTGGTAAGGATTTTCAATCTCCCCAACGCTCAGGTTCTCGGTTGTCGAAGATGTGATCTTTGTGAGCCCAGAAAATTCAGGTCCATAATTGAACCCAATTTGCGTCATGGCTGCATACCATCTGGAAGGATTTACTTCGCGGGGATAAATATGAAAATTTTCACAGCGCGCAAGATCCGCCTGACGAGGCTTGACTTGACCTTCGCAATTCCTCATCCACGTCGAGCCGGAATTCGATGAAATGGTAAAATCGAACCAGTCCGAGTCCATTGAATCGGTCAGTCTATGAGGCCGGAGGACTGTAATCATCTCCACCGATTTGGAATCTGTGAGCACTAGGGCAGAGTGAACAACAACATGTCTCAGGCTGTAGCCGTTATTAATCCCAGATACCTGTCTAATACACTCACCAGCCATGGCAGCATAACCGGCGAACGGGAAAACTACATCTCCTCGGATTTTATGGTCGTAGAGCCACGGCTCGTCCTCAAGTGATAGGACGTTTCTCCATGAAGGTTCAAATATTGTGCTTTCTCCTACATGTACGCCGAGAAGGCCATGGTATCCGTGTTTCCGAAATCTCCAGTCCTTCGACAGCCGACTTTCATACCAGTATGATGCACTATGATCCCATGGGTAGGATGGAAGGTTAGGGAGCACACTTCCGCCTCGTGTCAAAGGCTCAAAGCTGAAAGGAATCCCTTGCTGATAGAGTTGACCCCAAGCGGATAGCAAAGTTTCCGCACAATCTTTGTTTCGAATCATCGTTGGAATGTAGGGGCAATCTAACCCAACTTCAGAGCATATCTGCCGAAGTGGACCAGCAAGAGTTGAGTGAGGCCCAATTTCAAGGAACACGTTATTGCGCTGACGCTGCAGCATTCTACGCACCGCCGAATCAAATCGGACTAGAGAGGTAAGATTTTTCTGCCAATATTCGGGGTTCACTGCCTCGGAATCTTCAATTACTTCGCCTGTTGCGCTCGAGAAGAACAGGGTGTCAAGATGTCGGCTTGTGGAAAATTCTTCGGTGTGGAGTGATGAATCATGTCTTCTGGCTAGTTCTTCTTCCACGAGACGGCGGTATTCCTTACCCAAGGACACCATGTGATCTATGAGGCTAAGATCAGCATTAAAAGGCAGAGGATAGCCGGTGCCGGTCACGTACGAGAATGGTATGCCATGTCTACCTTCAGTACCCGAGCCAGCACATCGGGCTTGCTTTCCTTGATTGCTGCTACCACCTTATCAAGCTGTCCTACGTCCCCAGACAGAGTTATGCTCTTAGGACTGTTCTCACAGGCGATTACAACGCCTTCTTTCAGAAATTTTGACGCTGCGTCCGCACCAAGGCCGACTGCTGCCATGCTTCCAGCTGATGGTTTCTTAGCGACATAGCCTCTGTAATAAGAGATGATTACAGCTTCGCGGAACGAGATAGCACGAGCTGCGTAGGCCGCAGCTATTTCACCGCTGGAATGGCCAACAACAGCCACTGGCTGAATGCCAGATCTGCGAAATACATTGACAAGAGCTATCTGAATCGCGGTACACAGGGGCTGCGCCATCTCAGCACGGTGAATCTGGCTTGTTTTGGTCTTGAAAAGTTCGTCTGCAACAATTGGTGAGCATCCAATAACGAACAAAAGAGGACGAGGAGTGTGGCAAGTAGGACCATGGCCTATGTAAAGTACGCGATATCTGGAAGGGACAGTTCTAACCTTTGATGCTCCATGCTGGTGGATACTGTAAACTCTGAAGTATGCTATCCATCGCTCCAATATCACTTCGGAATTCGGAATTTTTGAGTACAAGTTCTCTTCCCATCGTAGGCCACTGGGCGCCTTGACCGCTAAAAGTCATCACAAGGTCTGGCGTAACTATTGGAACCTTTGCTACCGCCGCGGCTTTTCCCATAGCTCTGTCATCGCCAACAGTGCAGAAAGTTCTATACACATGATGTTCTCGGCGTTGATTCAAGGTGTAAGCCATATCCAATACCCGGTCAAGATACATTTCAAGATATGTCGTGTTATTGAGGACTTGCCGACGCAGGGACTCCTGGGTATTTGCGGAAAAGACAAGTAACTGGGGAAGCTTGCTTGCTATGTCAATTTCGAATGCCTTGCGTGGAGTAGGAACATATGCATCAGATGATTCTAGGATTATCTATGACCGTGTGAGTGAGCTCATTGGCTTGCATTGATATGATAATATGAATCGCAAAATTACCTACATGTGCATTGCTTCCTCCTATTCCAAACGAATTTATACTCGCACGCTTACTACGATCTTGCGGCCAAGGTGTGGCTTTGGTCGGAACGACAAGACGGCTTTCTCTGAAATTAACTAGCGGAATTAGACGGGGTCATCCGAAAGCATCTAGAGGCTTACTTTTAGGGTTCGGGGTACTGAACTTGATATTTGGAGGGATAGTCCCATGTTGTAGGCAGAGTATGACTTTAATCAGGCTTGTTATACCTGATGCACCCTCTGAGTGGCCCACGTTGGGTTTCACCTATACTTCGTTAATAGACGTAGCACTCTTCGTGATCTTCCCACTTACCGAGCCAATGTGAACACCTTTCTCTCCAAATACTCTGCCAACAGCTGCAACCTCCAAAGGATCTCCCGTAGGTGTACCTGTTCCATGACACTTGAAAGTTCTGTTAAATGTCTCCTAACGTCATGAAGAATTAGGCTTGGCTGGAATTCTTACCTCGACGTAGCCAGTCTCCGAGGGTATCAGACCAGAATCGGAATATACTTTTCGGATCAGAGCTTCGTGGGCCTCACTACTAGGGGTCATTAAGCCTTGGCTTTTGCCATCGCTATTCGTTCCAGTATTCCGAATGATAGCCCTAATCGGGTTGTTGTCCCGGAGGGCATCACTTAGCTTTTTAATGTAGATCGCATTTATTGCTTCTGCGCGCGCAAAGCCATCCGCCGCTGCATCAAACGTTTTACACGAGCCTTCCGGAGACAGAATCCCTTCCTGAGTCATTGCCGCTGTTGTTGCCGGCCCCATGATGAGACTTGTCCCAGCAACAATCGCTCCATTGCAATCACCGCTATGCAATGCTCGACATGCCTCATGCAGAGCAACAAGCGAAGCTGAGCAACCTGTTTTGATGACCATGCTGGCTAGATGTCAGTGTACGCTGGCGCAATGTTAAAAGATGTCGATCCCATCAACGCACCTAGGACCTCGAAGATCGTACTCATACGAGACACGATTGGAAATCATAAGGTCGCCGTGGCCGGTCAAGATATAGCCTCCGGAGTGCTGAGTCTCTCTCGCACTCATTTGTAGCCAGTCTTCGCCAAATGTCCCGACGTAGCATCCAACCATCTTACCTCTATAGTTGATCTCACCAGCGCTTTCCAGGCACTCCTTTGTTACCTCCAGAAGCTGTCGTTGTTGTGGGTCCGACTTTTCCAGCTCATTTTTGCTCATGCTGAAGAAAGATGTATCCAGAGACGTTAGATCGTCGTCCAGGAAATATCCCTTCTGAGTCTTGATGGCGCCCTTTTTCCCCAAGGCACCATTGAAGCTGTCGATTTTGTATCGATCAGAGCGAATTGGACCCTGTGCATCTTTCCCATTGATTAACAAGTCCCAAAAGTCTTCAGCACTACGAACACCTCCAGGCAGACGAATTCCTAGACCGCAAATGGCAATGGGGTCAAGGGTCGATGTAGTAGCCTCGAGGTTGGGATGGACAGTACCAGGCTTGAAATCGCCATTACTAGGATGGCACCGGCGTCTGAGGTAGGTGTGATCGTGACTTCTAGAGCTACCATTGGTAATTTGATGGCTATTGCCGTTGATCCGAGGTCCTGTATCATCAGCCATGCTGGATGTCACTTAGCGCCTTTCGAGCGCATTCCGTCTCTCGCGTTGGGTCGATATAACACAACAACTCACGACAAAAGCCAATAACAACGATCTAGATGGCCAAGATATAGGAATCAACACATCCTTACTGTTTGAAACTGGGCGCATGATGCAAGAGCACTGAAAGTCCCCACCACAAAATGCTTTGCTAACAAACGGATCAAGTCGGTTCTTTCAGCCGGACTCGGTAAGACGTTGCCAAGGCCTAGATCTCGCACGATGCTCGGGACAGGATGCACATGCTCGTCATGGATGTCGCTGTACACGAACGGTGGCCACTCCACTATGGGAGCTTCCGGGCCAAAAGCCGTCCCTAACTAGGAACAAATACTGATGCCAACACTATACCCTCTATCTCCCGGGTCTTGCAAGTGCGAGTGCCTGCTCCAAATGCTTACGGTTCGACCTCAGGCAAAGTAAGCGTGACATCATCCCACTTCATCCCCCAGTGCGAACAAAAAGCCATTCGAAACTCCACCGGACAATCGTCTTGCGGGAATGCTCCACGGTTGATAGGCTTTCTCTCAAAATCATTGGGTATGCCGTGCAGCGAGACACAATATAAGAGGAGTGTCCCTCACTGGAGGAAAAGATGGTATGATCAGATGAAAACGTCTGCCATTGGTCATGCTGCTGCAACGCTTCCTGCAACAATATCCATCTGGAATTAATTCTTAGCCAGATTTTGATGCGCAGAATTTAGGAAGCCGTGTACGGTATACCGAAGGCATGCGGTATATCTTGGTAAGCTTCTAGCGCACTGATTTTCAGATGGCCTCCTTCCGCAAGGAATGAATTTTCGGACCGAGAATTTCGCGCCGAGACTATGAATAACGCAGCATGTCAACCAAGCGCCGAGACCAAGATACTTTACCAAATTTTGAGAACTACCGCCGTCGCCGTCGTGGGGCAATAGAAGAAATAGGCATTCGGACCGAGGGACTGCTTTCGCACGAACGCACTAATGTCCACACCACACTCGTACCTGGGTTCATGCAGAACGAGCATGGATGAAAATTAATCAGACGGAAGGTTGTCTCTTAGCATGGATACTCTATGCGGCTAGCCCTAATCGGGTTGGTCGTAAAAGTAGCTAGGCCTGAGGTGCGGAGTCCCTAGCGAAAAAATGGGATGCATGATGCTGCTGGTGCTGCTATTCTCGAAGTCTCACGTGTTGAAGTACAGAACTCTTATACACCCGCCCATGACAATGAGGCTGAGCTGCAAAGTTTGCTGAACTGCATGTCTGGCTCGAAAACGGATTGGTCGATTTTGAGGACCATGGTGACAAAGATGGAGGGTGCGGGCTGCACCCTCGAAATGTACTGTTTCATCGCTCGTCGTATCTGGCACACGTCTCACACATAGTCACCGCCATACATGCTACGCCATCTTACCCTGGGCTGGTTTTGGCACATATCTTTGTCCCGTAAGCCAAATAAAATGGTGGTGTTTTCCTTCCTTTGTGTCACCGGATGCCCTACAGTAAGAGAATTATGGCGCCCTCTACGACCCACTCCCCAGCAAAGACACTCAGTCGTAGTGAATATCTGGTAAGAAGCCCTTCCACATATCTGAATTGCATGCACCATGAAAGCACACTAACACAATCCTATGTGGGGACAGGCGGTATCGTGGACCTTCACAAGCTTCGCCATTCTTCTATCCTTTGGCCGTTTCGTGATCCGGAAACGCTTGCTTGGAAAGCTTCAAATGGATGACTGGAGCCACGCCTTCGCATTGGTACTCTTGATCCCATACATGGCTCTTAGTACGACGATTTACCCCTTAGCCATAGAAGTGGGACTCTTTGGAAAGAAAGATGGGCCAATGCCCTCGAAAGAAACACTAGAGCGATTCTTCCGGCTTGAAGTTGCTGGACAACTCTTCTTCTGGATCATCTTGTATGCGGTCAAATTCACTTTTCTGATTCTCTTCCGCCAAATCTTCAGTGTCAACAAGATGTTTATGAGATGGTGGTGGGCTGTCTTCATTTATACCTGCATCGCATTCTGGGCGTGCTTCCTCGAGGTGTTTTGGATCTGTGGCAGTCCGTCCGATATATTCGTTCTCAGTGCGTACTTTGAACCCGTGCTTTCCACAATGCGTGCTAATAGGCCGCCAGAGAAATGTCTAACTCCACATGCGTCCGGTGTCGTAAACAACTTTGCGGAGGTAGGCCTTGCCCTTAATATATCTTCCGATCTCGCTGGTAAGTTCTTCAGCTCTCAAGAAGTCGCTTATATACTGACAAATAGTAGTCATGATCCTCCCCACATGTTTCCTGCGAGGCCTGCAAATGCAGTTGGGCAAGAAAATTGCCGTGGGATTGCTGTTCTCAGTCGGCATGGTCGTCGTCGTTATAGACGCTGTCCGACTCGCGGTGGGTGATGGTGGAGGAGTTGTAAGCCAAGCATTGCTTTACGACGCCCTAGAGCCTGCAATTGCGGTAATCATGTCATGTTTGCCAACTTACAGAACCCTTATCTCTCCCGCTCGTGGATCCAGCAGGAATCGTAAAGGAGATCGATACCAGTATGAATCTGGAAGTCAGCAAAGTTGGAAAGACCGCATCACGGCAAGATACCGGAGCGAGGGATATGAGCTTAGTAACGATAGCGTGGCGCTTACACGTCCTCCTGCGACGTTACCATCGGGCAAAGTATGATTCTGAAGGGAAAAGGAAATTGTGTTCGAAGCCCTGCGTTCAAGGGGAAAGTCCCCGAAGCAGTTCATGACATTCGCAGTGGTTTTGAGAGCCTCAATGTACCATCTGAGAGTCTTTTTGTACATCTCTTTAGGCATGTACTATCCATATACCCTAATGATAGATTCTGGTCTGTAATGCGACATCGCTGAAACGGCACCGGCTTTCAGACAGGCATTCTGCTGTAAATTTCACCTCTACATATCCTCTGCGACGATCGAATTGGAAACATCCCTTCCGTCACAGCTCCAAATCGCGCTTTCCACAAGCTCCAGCATGTATGACCTTATGCGGGGGTATCTCATTATTCGCCGTGGGTATCATTAACGAAGTGCCCTGCTCTTTTCCAAGAAGGCTTGAGATATGCCCCGTCCTGCTCACATTTGCCGTGTCCGCAGCAATAAGCAGGCTCCTTTTACCGCTGACCACCGTGACTTCTTGCGACGAGTTTGGGATTGTGACGTGCAGGGTGCCGGACAGGATCACATTGTACCTGTTATATGCGAAATACATAGCGCGTTAGTACATTGAATCGGAAGAAAGAGAAAGTATATCGTATGTATGAAGAAGGATAGGATATAGACGTACTGTACAGACGGAGCAGGATGGGGTGAACCTGCAAATCCACCCGGTAGGCTTGACCACACCATGCTGCTCACATTGCCGAGCTGCTGTACAGCCGCACCTTGAATGCCTGCCGTCTGAGATATGGTCAGGGGAAGAGTGATCTGCCAGCACTCCAGTATGGAAGCATTGTTGAAGGCGGAGATAGCGGTAAGGTTGAAGGCTGTAATAGAGCTATTGGCATTGATTCTGGCTGCGAGAAACAAGAATGGTAGTGCTGTTGCGAGCTTTGAACCGAGAGCCATGATCGGCTAGGTATGGAGGCAGGATATATATAGAGATAGCCCTGTGTGATAAGAGTGCTCTTTTACATGATGCAAAATGATGGCCCGGAGGGATGTTGATTATTTGTATCTAGGGATCCCAGCCATACAAAGCGATCTTCGGCGCATGACGGCGCATCGCATGCGGAGGTAACGAAGAGGTGGGGGCAGGAAGACTTGAAGATTGAACAGAACCGTTGAGTGAAAGACCAATAATCCTTTCTACCCATGCTCCGTATGAGGGAGGTGACAAACAAATTCACTGGATGGGGTCATGCGAGCCCTGGCCCTGACATGAGCCGGCCGGGAACTGCAGATTGCAAATGAAGCTCCGGCGCTCTAGCCTATCAAGTATTTAACGTAGACTTGGCATCCAACGTCGGAAGGAAGGTTGCACTACCTTAGGAAGCAGTGCTGCTTTCGAGTTTAGGAGGAGGCCAAATACTACACAGTACACTATACATTATCACGGTCTGATGCCCTCTGGATTAGACCTATGAATAACAAGCGAAAGAAATGTGGCACAGCCAACGTCATGCCACATGACGACTAATTGTAGGCTCTGCCTATATTCGTCCTAGAACAATCACCCAATGTAACATCCCCCACGGTCCCGAGAGTCGTCGAAAAAACCACCCCTAGTTGTCATGATGGTTGATAAATTGATAAGTCATAGGTATGTACTGGACACCCTACGGGTTGCCCCATGGGCTTCACAGGCGTCAAAGGCCCAGCCAGATAGTTTTCAATGATGTTGGCGGCTGTGTCGCATGCTTCGAAAGATTGCCGGTGAAAATTTCCTCACGCGACCCTAGACACTCAACATAGCCATACCCGCAGTTGGTATCTGTCTTCACAAGCCCGGTAGGATGCAAAGGCCCAGAGAATCAGCGTCTCGGATGAGAGAGCATGAGCAGTAAGGTGTAGCCCAACCGGCGATATTCAGCGCGAGAACAATTGAGGTGCCGAGGTTGGTCCGAGTCTTAGGAGAGCGAAGCGCTTGGATGCCTTCTACTAACGTACTTTCCCAAATCTCTGCAGTCGTCTAGTCTTCTGGGCATGATCCCGGGCTGAAACCGACCCGTTCATTGCGGCTGAACTAATTGAAGACTAAGACCAGGAACTCAAGTATCCAGCGCTACCATGCTCTGCAACATTCCTCCTACTCTTCCATAGAGAAGTAAGCCTCATCCTCCTGTTCTTCCACCATCTCCTCTATCGAATAGTAGCCCTCGTCCTCAAGTTCCTCAAACTCGTCAAAGTCCTCGGCTTCATTCTTCAGCCTTCCCGGTCTGCTCAATCTCCGGCGCCTTCTGGTCAGCATCAGTACTATCTTCGACTGCAGTCTCCTCAGACTCCTCGAAAATGGTCTCCGGAGAATTCGCGGCGAGCCTGCGATTGCTGGGGACGATAACCTCCTGGTATTGATACTCGTCCCTGTCTATCACGGAGTCAATCAGGGTAGTTTCATCATCGCTGCTGCTGGTCAGGCCTAGTTCGTCGTCGGCTAGGTTTCCTTCCTCTCGTTTGATCTCCTCGTTGATTTCGTCGAGCCTTTGCTGCAAGATCTCCTGTTGTTTGGCTAGATTTTGTTCTAGCCTTTTGGTCGCGAGCTGCAGCAGGTGATTTGTACTTCGCTCTAGCATCACCAGATGCTCTGCCGCCTGCCGCGAAATTGTTTGGACTTGTTGGTCCATCCACATCTGCTGCATTTCTTGTGCCTGGCGCTGCACATTGGCGGGAATAGTGGGCTTCTGGTTCCGGATGTCAATTATCTCCTGGGGTGTATATCGGATGGTAACCTTGGCGGATCTTCGCATGATGCGGTCGATGATGACTTGTTGACGTTGTCGGAGCTCGAGGATCTCTGATGCCTGGTGCTGTGCCGTCTCACGTTTCGCTTGAGCTTCGTTGTCTTCTCCGACTCGCTTGGCAAGCTTCTCGAATGCTGCACTTCGTTGGGCGGATGCCGCGAGTGCAGTCTTGGATTTCTGGATATGGTGAGTCAGACATGAATTGATCGAACAACTGGATGAATTGCCCCTAACCATGTCGATGGACTTGTCCTGCTCCTTGGTAGCCGATATGGCTCTTTTGCCGTCATTGGATTTGGTGTCTGAGGTGAAGGAAACGGATTTGCTTCTGGTACTGGATTTGCTTGATTGATCTGAATCGGATGAAACCTGCTCGATGTGAGTAATGGCATTTAGAGGAGATTTTCGTGCTCCGAGATTGAGTTGTGTGCTTACACCGAGGGCGGTTGAAGAGCGCTTGCTAAACTCGGGGATGGGCAAGGAGGATGCTGATGGGGAGGCGTAGAATGCTGGTCCGGCATACTCGGGCGAAATGATACGGCCTATGTTGTCTGACATGGTGGGTGAGTGGATGATATGTCACGAGAGGATGATAGACTTGGGTGCAAGTATGCTTTCGTGCGTGATGCGCCTTTTGGTAAAGATATATGCGAGATGTGTGGGGTGTTGGATGGAGCAATGGAGGGAGGAATTGCACACTTTTATGCCCATGGAGAGCGATAATGCATTAATCGGAGGAGTCATAAATTAAACAGCATTTAATAACTCGCTCAGTACTCTCACCTACAAACGAGAATACTGCATTAATCGCGGGAGTCATACTTGATTTTTCCTTGAAAACTTGCTCAGTGTAGACAATTTTCTCAACAGAAAGAGCAAAAGCCGCCGAACAATCGAATATATATGTGAGCAAGTGAGCTCATTTTGTCCTAGATCGCGAAGTTTGATGGCATGATTCATGTTCTAGCAATACTGCCGCCAAGGACTGCATCAGGCCTTGGAGAAGCGGATGGAAGGAACGAAATGTCAGAATATGCCGATCATGTAAAGCTTAACCTTGGCAGGACTCAGTCGGGCAGACATTACTCTTTCCTGACCATGCTCGCAACAGTTCTGGGAGGTTAGGGAGAAGTAGCGAGCCTGCTACCAGGAACTGAAGATATATATGTACTCTTCGGATCTGGTTGAAGGAAGGGTGTTTGTCCGTGACGAGCGAGGTCTAAATCAGTCGCATTTGATAGATAGAACACGGTAAGGAAGTAGTATGTCGAGATTAGTAAGATGCTACAGGAAATCGTCAAATAATCGCACCCACGACCGAGTACGTGAAGGCATGTCGAATAAGGGAACGCAGAAAAGTAGTCGCGTATAAAATTTCAAAGCATTTAGCACTATTCGCTTTGGTATTCTCAGAAGATAAACCAGAGTCCAGTTCTGGGCGTCACTTTAACAGACTAGAGTCCAGCATTGTCGTCGGACTGTCCGCTATCAGACCGTCATTCTCAATGGAGAGTACAGTCTTGCCCTCCATCGCTCTAATATCCCTGATGAGAAGATTCTGCTTGCTCACGAGCTTTTGCACCATGGCTGCTCGAAGTATAGGACGACCGACATTGTCAGAGCTTGGGGGGTTGAACTATCCCTTTTTTCACGAGTCGCTTTCAGACGGCGGTGCTTCCGTCGTGTGCTACCTTCGATGTTGACGTTGACCCAGAAGGGCTGATGCTCGTGGAAGGCAATCATCCCCAGTCTGAATGTGTCGAGGAACGCTATCCTCCGAGATCTCATTCTGGAAGATATTCCAACCAAAGGCATCGTGAATGCCATTGTATTTTTCCCTTTCTATCCTGGACGTGCCATCGATGTTCACGGACCTCTCCCCCACCAGTATCTATTTTGAAGCTCAGGCCTTCGACCTTTGGCTTGATGTTTTGATGGGTCTTTTTCTGTTAACAGTTGAGAGAGGATTACGGACGAATGACGAATTGGCGAACAAGAAAACAATGTTTACGTTTCAATTGCCGAGTCAGCCGCACTTTAAGAGTGTATAGGTAACCGCGCTTAAGATCTTCAAGTACGAGTACGGGGTACCCTCGTATTTACGCCGATTTCAGCCCTGTGACGGCCACAGACACTCGCGTTACCGTGGATCAAGACGCACAGCATGGGCCCCACATCACGCGTCCAACACTCGAGTGGACCGCCTTCCTGATCCTTATCAAATGGCGCTCGCATCAGCGCCATCTACGCCAGAGAGAGCGACTCCCCCGCCGTTTATCCGCCGCTCCTTTACTGCACCAATTCGGTCCTCTAGGTCAATCCCACTCCCGGAGGAGACAGTTGACGGAGCTGAAACATTATACGCACATGGCGCTGGAAGAATTGTTTCATTCAACAACCCAACAAGCTTGGCTCGAAGGCATTCGAGTATCAGCAACGGACGGGCTGAGCTCCAAGAGGAACCTGTCGGGACATTGCCATGGTTCTCTACCACTGAGAGAACCTTGGCCGCTGGTATGCTCGAGCGTACTCAGATAGATACAGTACTATCCAGCTAAGACTTCTTCATAGGGCCCCTACGGATCTACAGAGTTCTGGGTACGGCCTTCCTCAACTCTGGCACCACGCTGCAGCCTCTACTATCAAAATCGCAGTGTTGGTGCGTGGACGGCGAATCTAAATTCGTGCTCCGAATCCGTCCGAACGCTTACTATCGTATCGAACTGCCACGAGCAGGCTCTGAAGATAAGAAGAAGGTGGATGACTTCAAAAATGTCCTGACAAAAGTACTACAATATGAAGCCACTCCATGTCCTTTCAAGAGGGGTTTCACCATCGACCTACCACAGCCTTCAAAAACACCCATCCAGAAGCGACCATGGAGACCTAAGCCCCGACTTGATACCATGTCAGAAAAAGTACCTGAAGTGATAGAAGACTTAGGCGAGTTTTCGATAAATGATACGTTCACCCGGAGCCCAGACGCTGGAAAGGGCGAGCTAGTCGAGCCTGATATTGAGACACATCGCGAGACAGAAGCAAGCTTCCAAGTCGTACATTCGGACGTCAGTAGTACTGGGAGCACGGAAAACGAAGGTGGCAGTGAGGCTACCGACGCTATAAGCTTTGACCCCAAAGATTTGCACGAAAATGTCTACGAAGAACCCGACGACTTCAAGACCCCCACTCGGCCCAAGGGTCTGCGGACCGGGCGAGCCATCACCGCACCACCACAGTTGACCATCAGGACCTCGCCACCATCTAACAAGGAAGCAGAGTCTCTCGCCTTACCCAATGTCAAGAGAGAGTCGTCTAGTCTCTCTTCGAGCGTGGACTCCTTCCATTCTTTTCACAGCCCAATATCTCCTCTGGCGCCTTCACCTCCCTTTCCTACATCTCCGCGAGAGGAATACGCCGGCATCGACATACCGGAAATCCGCAACCACAAACGTGATGTATATGAGATCACCGTCACAGCCTCGTCTCCTGAGCTTTGGGACATGAGTGACGCAAAGCCCGAGGACGGAAGTACATATCACTCACCGCCTGATCTCCCAGGGACGCCGCCATTGGTAAGCGATGCTGCATCACAAGATGATGACCATTGGCCCGAGCCTACGACACCTTCACCTCATACCAAGCTTCGCCGTCATGGTATCAGACGAAAGAGACGAGGTCAATCACCACTCCCACCGTCTTCAAATCTGTACTCTCCTTACTCACCTCGTTCACATATGTCAGGTCACCATATGACCACAGCAATTCTTCAAAAAACGTGCTCGCTGTTGTTGGGACCACCTATTCAGCTGGTCGCCCTTATGATGAGGATCGCTGCTAAGATAGCTCGAGGTGCTTCCCGAGGCACTTCATTTGGCTTTGGTGACGGCGGACAGAAGATACCGTGCTCTTGGGACTTCAGTGATGCTAGCGATGGAGCTGATGAAACCTGGGAAGAGGACGACTATGGTAGGTGTACTTTTCTTGGCATTTTGTTCACAAGTCAGACCGCGAGTTGACTCGTGAGACATGTTTTGCGAGCAAAAAGCTCATTCAATCCCAACACCTGTCTCACAACCTGGTTTCGGCCTCAAAAAAGTCCTACTGACTCCGAAATATGCAGGTGTTTCCCTCCGCAAGAACTTATCATCGAAAGATAGCAGAGCTAGCGAGATGGGCGGATCTGTAAGCAACTCTCCCTGCCCTTTACCTTCTTGTTCGTTCTCTGCTTTGAGTCGCGAGACACGTTGCGGGAGTACACTGACTGCCGCAACTGTCTTCTGACTCAATTCCTAGATCTTGTAAAGGGAATTCTGACTGAAAAACCTGCAGTGGGAGATTGACTGAAGAAAGACATTTATTCTGGTGAATGCCCCAAATTGGATATGCTTCAATATAAGCCGGAGACTTTCGAGGCGATTGGTGTCAGGTTCGATTTTTTTGCGATGGACCGGAGCAAATGATTTAATGATACCACGAACTGTATAGGAGACGCCAGCTTCGGGAGAACATATGGAGTCAGGCTTTCCATTTGCATACCAGTAACATTTACACCACTAGATGATTCTTTATTCCAAAAAAGTTCGGTGTCAACAAACAGTATCCCACAAACTCTAGCAGTCGCGATAATGTGAGACCCAATGGACGAAATGTGATGTTCCGAAAGTTGGGTGCCTCCGGGCTTGAAAGAGAACTCCAGGCGCCTGAATGGATTGAATGACCCTTGGTCTCCGTCAATTTGGTATATAAGGTTCTTGCCAACCCGTTCAACATCAGCAGCATGATCTGTCCCAGATCCGGACATACTTCTGTATCGAAACCAATACGTGGACTCTTCACGCTCAATAGATAGCTTTCGAAGAAAATGCCGACATCCTCCAGCCAGCTGGCTTCCAAAGCTGGACGCAACGATCGCTGCGAGTGCGGTTCTAGCAAGAAAGTCAAAGCCTGCTGCGGCGAGAAAAAGGTAAGTAGATCTGTTCCATTGCCAGCAAAGCTCAACCCTAGGATGTTCTAGACTTCTGCTGACGGAGTCACTAGCAGTCGAACCTTGCGGCCCCAAAGGCGATGACTGATGCAAACGTTGAATTGTTATTCCCTTCGCATTCTACGTACGTAAATTCCTATCTGGTACTGAAATATGAGTCGCAAGGAATGTTTCGGGAGCAAATTGACCTGTTCTGCTCGCGAGACCTGTCTTGCAACTCAATCATCTACCTTGAAGAAGCAACGCTGACCCCGAAATGTGCGTAGAGTCTACGAATACATCAAGAACGTGGAGGCGAAAACAAAAAGTAGGGCAAATCCTCTACTCTCTACGAACAAGGACCACAAGAACTAACCCAGTGCTTCTAGAGCTTGTAATGAAGCTATACAACGAACCTGAGTCAAACATCAAGATCATCACACGCAACGATGATGTTTCTGGAAAGATGTTCAGAAGCTACGTGCAGCTTAACAAGCCTGGAAAGCAGCCAATGCTTAAGTGCAGCACAGCCGCATTGCAGAAAACTCCCCAGGAATCACTTGAGGCATTGATGATGACCCTACGGCAGGCGGTAGAGGAGGAGGCAATGAGATCAGCTCAGGAGACGTTCGATAAGACTTTCGGGGCTGAAGCTACCGAGGGGGTTGCGGGGGAGAACTCAGGTTCTTAGATGGGCGCGGTGAACAAGTACCTACTCAGGTGACAAGTGGAACGTTTAAGGGTTCAGGAAATTGGAGACTCGGAGGGTTTTTTCTTTATATTTTTTTCTCTCTAAAGTCTTCGGTGTCCATTCCCGCACTCTTTCAGTGAGCCTCAGCCAGCGCTTGGATTCTGGCCATTGATGTTGCTTTCTTCAAAATCGACTCCATCCTTGAGATCTGTCCCCAAAAGCAAAGCAGCAGCTCTTGCGAGCAAAATACTCCCCGCAGTTGCCCATGAAGCTAAGCAGTCCCTGCAGCTATCAAAGCCTCCTCTTCCGCGACGAACGTATTGACCCGGTCGATGGCAAGTACCTCCTGCTGCTCCAAAGCCCAGCGGCTCGTCGCATCCACTACCACGTCATATTGCTCTTTCCGTTCCTCGAATTTGCTCACACTGCCATCCAGTTGTGCCTCGAGACTCTTGAACTTGGAGACCGCGGCGTGCGTCTCCAGCGCCAGCCGCGTCTGTGCGTCCGAAATACCCTTCTATCACGCAAGGAATGGATCATTGTTCCCAGGACGCTTCGAAGCCGTGTCGTACAGCTGCGAGAGTCGCAGGGTGGGTGGGCAGCTAGCTCGGGCGATGGATTCAAACTCGGCGAATTTGCGTTTAGAGTCGGCGCTGACTGTTGGGCATCGATCAGTTATCGGAGTATGTAGCTTGCAAAGGGCAGGGAAACTTACGGCGAGGGTCTTGGAGGTAGGGTCTGGAGTCCATGTTGAGAGATTTTCCTGTGAGGTGGGTAGCTGTGGGGCGTTGGGAGTCAGCTTTGAATAGGGTGAAGTATTTCGAATCTGGTGGCTTGTCTTACATGGACCGTGTCAAGGGAGACCAGGAAGTGTTAGTAGCCTATGTGGAAGATGATGGTGGATGATGGATGGACGGCAACAGTGGGGGTTCCGGCCATGTGATAAAGCAGGGAGCAGCTTCCGTTCTAATACAAGCTATTGTGTTGTGCGTTAGCCATGGTTTTGATCTGCATCAAGGGCAAGCGCGTCACCACAGTGATTCGCCTGGAAATTTCACTCCACCTTCCACGCCATTTGCTTAGAGTTCGAAGCTTCATCGGCAAAATCCATTCTGTTGGACAATCCATCAGAGCCTCCAGAGCATAGTCAGATCAATCTCAACTCTGCAAAATGTCCACAACCTCCAGCAAGCCCGAGGTTGGACGCAGCAGTCACTGCTTCTGCGGTTCCAACAGAACATACAATGCCTGCTGTGGTCTCTAAATCCAGGCTCGGAGCGTCATCAAGGGTTGAAAAGGACGTCTAGGTCGAAGCTCTTGCAAATGAGACAGCAGTCGCAGAGGCAGAGATCCGAGATGAGCTTCTATGGTTTCCTGAAGCCTTGCACTGTGAAACTCTACCAAAATGCAGGTGATCATATGTCTCAAGCAGTCTTTGTTCGTTACAATGAAGGTCGAGTGAGAAAGGCATTGTCATACCAGGAGATGGCACAATTGACATTGTGCGACAAGGCCTTTGAAAAAAATCCACTGCATTCCTTTGTATACGACACAGCTTTTCCTTCACTCACGAGCTCTCTTCTCCCATGTTTTCGGATCCTTTCCTTCCTGTATAATACCATCCTCAGGCCTTGCGTACTATATCAATCCATCGCATCCAAAAAATATATATACGAAAGCAATCCTTAGCCTTACATCTCAGACCCGGCAAACTTCCAAGCGACCACAAACCAAATACCACGTATTCAGCGTCATCATGGGTTGCGCAGCATCCCGCGAATCCAGCGGCCCCAATAGCGACCACCGCCGCAAACAGCACCCCTCCAGCTCCTACTACGACTGGGATAAAAAAGGAGGCTATATCCCCTACCGACACAAAGGAGAGCGTAGGCCCCGTTGGCATCAGGAGGACAAGGAAGCGTATGCGCAACAGGTACGCGATGCAGCAGAACGCGAACGAAACCGTCAGGCATTGAAGCATTACGCAGCTGACGATGAAAAGGCAAAACTCAAAACACATTACACGGAACACCTGGGGCGAAAAAGGGCCGAAGGCTATGGGCAACAGGTACGTGACGAAGCGGAGCGAGAACGGAATCGTGAGGCGTTGAAGTATTACAATGTTCACGTAAAAAGGGGAAACCTCAGGAGACCGCATGATGATGATGAACGCAGGAAAGAGGCGGCGAGGGCAAAGAGGGAGATGATCAAGGTGTATGCGAGTCCTGATCTGAAATCGCGTTGGAGCGATTCGACAAGATAAGGTGGTGGTAGCGAAGGGCTTGATAGAACCTTGGTTCTATATTATATATTTCTCTTCTTCAGTCATGAAAATCGTCCACGGGTCTGCTGCGAAATGATCTTGATGTTATGAAGGTGACGAACAGATAATGGGTAACGAAATGAAGACTCATGTTCATATGACCTGGGCCACAGGCTTTCAAAAAGCCAAAATGTTGTGTCTTCAGCGCAATCTTGTACGAAAATATCGTAGATTATCACATGCTGAGGAAGGTATAGAGGGATGTTAATCCATAGTAGCCTCTGGCATTTGCCTACATTGACATGGACCAAGTGAAACGCCCAGACGAGCAGGATGAGCGGTATGCTTAGTGCTCATCTATACAAAGCCAGCAGTGCTACCTCACGCCTTTTGAAGTTGGATATCTAGTACTATCTTAGCACTCAATTCTCGCCGCTAGAAGGTGGCTGCATAAGCAGAATACTTACTCGGATCATCAAGAATTGCACCATGCTCCGCAGGCAACATAGCCCCCTTGGGAGGCTTGTTCTTGCTCTTGAAATCATCACAGATGTCCTCCATCTTCACCCACTTGACACCCGGCTTGCTGCTAATATACTCGATCAATCTCTCCAGCATGAAAATCACGTGTGGATGGCCGCTGACGTCCGGATGGATGGTCACTGGGAAGCAAAAGTCGTCGTATTCTCTGTAAAAGAAATCGAAATGATCTCTCCATAGGTCCTCGACGTCCTTTGGGTTCACCCAACCGTGGGAGTTGGGTGCCTTCTTGATAAACATCATGGGGGGGAGGTCGTCAAGATACCAGTTGGCTGGGATTTCTACGAGACCAGTGTCAGGGCCCTTCTCCAGCGGCTTCATCCAGTGGTCGGGGTGTTTGCTGTAGTCGATTGGGGTCCATTTGTCGCCGGTGCGGAGGTAGTAGGGTAAGCAGTCGTGGTGGGAGAAGCTGTGATCTTTTATAGTGTGAGCAGACGATATCTCAGGATATATACAGCGATTTCCTGGGCCACGGGGTACGGACCGTATTCTACGCCGTACTTGAGCATCAATTCCGCACCCTCCTGGCTCGCTTCCCACCACTAAATGTTTGAAGAGTCAGAATGTCTCTTTCGGACTGATCTCAAGTCGTGAGACAGGCCCTAGGAGTCTTTCATTCCTGCGACGATTCTCGCGACTCGAAATGCAGTAGGATCAGAATGAAATTGCTCAGAGAAGGATAACTTACGGGTGCTACGTTCCCTCGTGGCGGCTTCCCGCAGAACTTAGTGAGGTCTTTGTAGGTTTTATCCAAGATAGCGTGTTGCTGTTCAAGATTCATCTTCACGGGGTTCTCATGCGAGTAGCCGTGGAGGCCTCTGCGAAGGAATCTGTTCAGCACCGTAATCCTCCGCTAAGTGGTATTGTTCCCATACATCTCATGCCCTGCGTCTCTTATCATTGCACATTCCTCCGGGAAAGTCTCCAGCGAGTGTCCAGGAATGAACCAGGTGGTCTTGATTTCGTATTTTGCAAATAACTTCAGGAGTCGGCGAACTCCAACCGTACCGGCGAAGAGACCTTGGACCAGTCAGCGTATTACTTGCCCATGTATATCAGGGACTTACACACCTCTTGATATATCACTCGTAGAGTCTTCTCCACCATATGAACCCAGCCATCCGGCGACAGCGTCAATATCAACGGATATGCAGCAGAGTGCCTCTGCCATTATGAGCGGACGGGACACCCGTTGAGAGACGAATCTTACGTTTCTGGGCCATGACAGCGACGGCGGCGTATGACCATGCTTCCCCAGCTCCGAGAGCTTCTTATCAGTAACTGACGTCGGAGCGTTCCCCGCCGTGTGGGGTAAGTACGGCGGACCACGGCTGATACTACGACAAAACCAAAACCACAAATATGTGCTGAGGCGCGGGCTTCCCAGTAGTGAAAAGCTTGCCGAGTACTGGTTTTTAACTATATTTAATTCTCAGAGAGATTCCCTAAAACCCCTCGAACCCTTCGAAGAGCTTTTTAAAAGCTCTTTAAGAGTTTATATCGAAGAGACTATTAAAGTAAGCTCGAAATTAATTAAATATTATTAAAATAATTAAATTTCGAGCTTACTTTAATAGTCTCTTCGATATAAACTCTTAAAAAGCTTTTAAAGAGCTTTAAAGAATTTAAGAGATTTTATATAATCTAACTCTAAGAATCGAGACGAGAGAGATATCCTTAGAGGTGTTACGAGCGTACTCTTAATATTACTTAATTCTATAACCTAATATCTTAATAGAAGATATCCTCTATTATATTATATCTTCTTTTCATCTATATAGTTCGATAGTCTTATTATTCTAGTTCTACCTCACCTATATTAATATCGCACCTATATTAATTCTAATTAGAGAAAGATTCTCTAAAACCCCTCTAACCCTTTAAGAGCTCTTCGAAGACTCTTCGAAGGCTTTTATCGAAGAGGCTCTTCTCGTAAACTCGATAATTTAAATAAAAATCTTAGTTTTTAATATATCTTTATAAATACTTTATTAAATTTTATCTACGCTATACTATCTAAAAGCGTATAATTAACTCTATAACTTTATATATTTAATTTATTATTATATTTTTAATAAAAGAAAAGAAATTAAAAAAGATAGATTTAAGAATTTTAAAGTTCTTTTCTAACTTTCTCTTTTAAATATACTCGTATATACTTACGTTTAAATTAAAAATAAAGAAATAAGATATATTTTAAATTAAAAATAATAAAATTCGATAATTTAATTAACTACTAGTCTCTTAGCGTAAAAGCTATTTAAGATTTCAACTCTTAAATATTAAGAAAATAAGCTTTTTAATTAAGAAATACTATAGAACTTCTTTTTAAATTTTTAAAAATATTATTCTCTTACTCTAAAATTTTAATACTATTCTTTTATAGATAATATTCTCTCGAATATTATAAGTCGTAATACTCGATTTAATCGTAGTATAAAAGAGCGTAAATCTCGTTTAAATAGTAGAATTCTTCTAGTTATATTATATATTCGTAATAATTAATATTAATAAATCTATTAAAAGAATCGATTTAAACGTAAATTTTTAATTAAATAATACTCGATAATTAATAAGTATATAAAAGATAAAAAGTAATATACGTATACCTCCTTTTAATATATATATACCCTCTTTTAATATATATATACCCTCTTTCAAATTCGATTAGCTTCTATGCGAGCGCTAGCCATATAGTCGAAGTAGAATCGAAAGAGATAAGACTATACGAGGCGGATAGCGAGATAGTCGATAGCGAGATAGTCGACAGCGAGGTGGACGTGATACGCCAGCCTACATGCAGGGTAACGAGATTATATTTAATATCTTTCAGCTATAGAAAGGCTAGGTGGCTAATAGATAGTAGATATTCGAGTACGATAGGCCGTAGGCGTATTTCTAATAGCAACGAGAGAGGGTAGCCAGTTAATCAGCTATCGCCATAGAAGGACAATTCAAAGACCTCACCATTCGACGATTTGCAACCGTCTGATCTTTTAGACTTTATCAAAAGAGGTCTAGAAAGGCTTATCTTACTATTATTAAGGGGATATAATATATATATACCCCCTTTTTATACATATATACCCCCTTTAAATCCGATTAGTTTTCGCGCGGCCGCTAGCTGCATAAGGTATAAACCCCGCACATAGCCGAAGTAGGGCCGAAAGAGGTGGGGCTACAGGGGGCGGACGGCAAGACGGGGCTATAAGAGGTGGGACTACACGAGGCGGACAGCGAGGTAGTCGATAGCGAGGTGAACGTGGTACGCCAGCCTAATGCAGGGTAACGAGACCATGTTTGGTACTTTTCAGCTGCAGGAAGGCTAGGTGGCTAATAGGTAGTAGATATTCGGGTACGATAGGCGTATTTCTAGTAGCAACGAGAGAGGGTAGCCAGCCAATCAGCTATCGCCATGTAGAAGGACATTTCAAAGACCTTATCATTCGACGATTTGAAACCGTCTGATCTTTTAGACTTTATCAGAAGAGGTCTAGGAAGGCAGCGAAGGCTTGCCTTGCTACCACCAAGAGTCTCGGCAATATTCCCTAGAAAGCTATGTACGGGGTGTATACCTTATACGGCTAGCGGCCGCGCGGAAGCTAATCGGATTTGAAGGGGGTGTATATATATTAAAAGGGGGTGTATATATATTAAAAGGGGGTGTACGTATATTACTTTTCTTATTAAGAGTCTCGATAATATTCTCTAGAAAGCTTTATACGAGACTTATACCTTATACGGCTAGCGGTCGCGCGAAAGCTAATCGAATTTAAAAGAAGAGATATATATATTAAAAGAGGATATATATATATTAAAAAGAAATATACGTATATTATATTTCTAAAAGATTTAACTTAAAGCGTTATACTATTAAATATTAATATAAACTTTATATAAACGTTTAATATAACGTCTATTAATCTTTAAATATAAATCTTTAAATATTACTATTATTAAAAAGCTTACTTTCTTATTACTTAAGATTAAAATTATAAAATATTCGATAACTATAAATTTAAAGTTAATTAATTAGATCTTTAGATTTCGTAATTTTAAAGCTAAAACTTATCTTATTTCGTCGTTTTCAAGCTAAAAGCGAGTATATACGGGTACGTTTAAAAGAGGAAGCTGGAAAAGAACTTTAAAATCCTTAAATCTACCTTTTTTAATTTCTTTTCTTGTATTAAAGATATAATAATAAAATAAGTTTATAAAGTTATAGAGTTAATTATACGCTTTTAAATAATATAGCGTAAATGAAATTTAATATCGTATTTATAAAGATATACTAAAAATTAAGATTTTTATTTATCGAGCTTACGAGAATAGCCCCTTCGGCAGAAGCCCTCGGAGAGCTCTCGGAGAGCCCTCGAAGGGTTAGGGGGGTTTTAGAGAGTCTTCCCCTGAATATATTAACTATCTCTCTCGATTCTTAGAATTAAACCTCTTAAAATTCCTTAAACTCTTCGAAGCTCTTTAAGAGCTTTTCGTCTTTAAAAGCTTTTATCGAAGGAGCTATTAAAGTAAGCTCGAAATTAATTAAATATTATTAAAATAATATAAGAGCGTAGTTTACTAACGGTTAGCTAGCGAATATAGGCTATAAAAGACGTAGTATCGTTATAGAATTTAATAGTATATTTAATAGTAGAACTAATCTCTAAGAAATATTAAAACTTTAAGATATATAAAGTAAATCTATATTCGTTAAGTCTCTAGATATACGAGATATATTATTAAAATTAAATTCTAAAAGAAACTCTAACGTAGTATATACGATATTAACGTCTTAACGTAAGTAGCGTTAAGGTCTATAACGTATTAAATCTAATAATTATCTTTTCTTCTAGGCCTTAGTCTCTAGACGCCTAAATAAAAATAAAACGCTTATTAAAAAATCTTTAAATTCTAGTAGAGAAATAAGAGAAAAGAGTTGATTCGTTAAAATTACGATATCGTTTTAATAACGCGATAGAATTAATTCTTACGCGAGTATAACTAATATATTATATAATAATATTAATACTATCTTCGAGAATAATATCGCTTTTATAATATTAATTAATAATAATCTATAGTAAGTCGACGCGCTTAATATTAGCGTTCTTATAACGTTAATTAATAGCCCCTATAGCGAATAATATTAGATTTAAGAACTTATAATAAAATCTTAAAAACTTAATAAGTAAAAGAAGAAAGAAGAGTTTCTTTATAGATAATATTATTTTTATAGCGTATTACGTCTATAGCGAAGCAACGTAGTAATAATCTTTATTATAAGAATTCGAAGAGAGTAATCGATAAAGTAACGCGTTCGCGATAACGCTCTTAATTATTAATTAATAATAATAGTAGAAATAATAATAATAGCTAGACGACGCGGTTCTATAGATAATAGCGAAATATCACCGCGTCGCTACTATCTACGTTATTAAATACTATCTACTAGTATTAACGCTACGATAAAGAATATAAAAACTTCTTTCGAATTATTTATTTTTATTCTTCGTAACTTCTAATATCTCTCTTATAAATACTTACTCTAGCGCTATAACGTCGATATTAATATTAATATAAGTATAATATATCTTATTATATTAGTAGTTTACTTCTCTTTATCGTAAATATCTTATTATTACTAATCGCGTCGATACGTAAACTAATAATTTTATAATATTCTTTTTTAATAATAATAATAACTTTAATAGTAAGTATATAGTCGTCTTATAGGCGCGATTACTAACCCTTAACTATTTCTATTATTATCGCTTTATATATATATCTATTAATAAATTCTAATATCTAATTTATTATATAGAACTTACTTTTATCGAGACGACGATTTATATATTTAAAATAAGTCTTTCTTCTATGATAACTATAAGGTCGAAAGGCGCGATATTAATCGCTATATTAAAATCCCTCTATATCTTTAGACGTAAATAAGAAAATTAATATAGCGCTATCGCCGCGTTAGATAGTTTTAAAAGTTATCTCGTCGATAGACTAAGCTTAATAAGAAGATTACTTAATAATATAAGTTATAGAAGTATACGATAATAATAACTTCGATCGCTTTTATTATAATTATAGATCTTTAAGACTAGCTTATAGCGGTATATAAGCGTATAAAGAAATTAAAGAGAATAAACGAGTTATTAGAGAAGA